AAAATAGGGAAACTACAGATAAATCCCTAATCCAAAATTCAAAACACAAATCAGTCCCTAGGTAGTTTCTCCAAGCAAATCAGTCCCTATTCACGCGTCTGACATGCAGATCAGTCCATAATGTGAATTTAATATATTTTACTATATTCTCTCTCTTCTTTTTCACTCTCACCCTTTTCTCTCTCCTCCTTTTCTCTCTCTTCATTTTCTCTCTCTTCATCTTCTCTTTCTTTCTTCTCTTTCTTCTTTTTTATCTGCTCTATTTCTTCTCTATTTCTTCTCTCTTTCTTTCCTCCGGTTTCCTCTTTTTCGCGTGGAAAGAGGGTTCCCACCGATGGCTGGTAGGTCTCCATCTTTTTCTGTACTGCTGAAATGCATTTCTTTATGGTTGTTAATTATTGTGATACATAGTATAAAATATGGCACGTAATAGTATCATGCTAATATAAATATGGTATGGATGTATGGTACTTACAGTACGTAATCGTTATTCGTATAGAATGCGTGATAGGTAAATTTGGTATTGTTGGTGGGAAAACATAGTATCATATAATGGGGAAGATAGTACGTAACCTTCATCTGAATAGTATGGGTGATAGGTAAATTTGGTACTGTTGGTGGGAAAACATAGTATCATATAATGGGGAAGACAGTACGTAACTATTATTCGGATAGTATGGGTGATAGGTAAAATTGGTACTATTTGTGGGAAAACTTAGTATTATATAATGGAGAAGATAGTATGGAACCAGTGCATTGTTATGATATTTTCATGTACATTGTTATTTGGATTCCACTCTATTGTAATCCATTTTTTTAAATTTTTTTTAAACCAAAAGCGGCGATCAATCGATGGAAATCAAGGGTAATCCGCTTGGAAATTCAATTGATGCATGGAGACATTGCATCCGTGGGGAGAATTAGTTTTTTTAAAGATCCTGATGATTTTAGGCATATGCTGAAAAACTATTCTATTGCTAATAATCGATCATTTAAGTACATGAAAAATGATCAACAAAAGATCATAGCAGTATGCATTGACGAAAACTGCAAATGGAGGGTTTATGCATCATTGTACAAGTCAGATAAGTTATTTAGCATTCGCAAATGCAATCTTGAGCACACTTGTGGTGATGCTAGTCTTCGAGTAGCACCACTCAAATGAGTGGGTTAAAATACAAAAAAGGGAAATGCAAGCGTCTTGATTGTGGGAAGAAAACAATAATCATGGTTTCAGAAACTATTTTGAATCCCGGAAGGTTATTTTACTGTTGCCCACATCATGGCTACTCCCATTGGTGTGAACCATTTGAAGTTGGGCAAACTTGTTCCAACTCAAATCGTGAAGAAAATGAAGCTACAAGTGCGTCGATGAACCAAGTCCATCAAGAAAGTGAAGTGAATAATTGCAATTCTGAAGGTGGAGTAGTTCATAGTTTGATAGTGTTGAATCTAGTAATATTTGCAGTCTACATGCTATGTAAAACCTATGTACTGTTGTTTAATTAGTGAACATAAGAGTACAATGTATAAGCTGGTAAAGTTAGGGTTATTCGTGAATATAGTACGCTTTGTTCACCAAATAAGTACAATGTATAAGCTGGTAAAGTTCGGTTTATTTGTGAATATAGTACGCTTTGTTCACCAAATAAGTACAATGTATAAGCTGGTAAAGTTCGGGTTATTCGTGAATATAGTACGCTTTATTCACCAAATAAGTACAATGTATAAGCTGGTAAAGTTTGGGTTATTCGTGAATATAGTACGCTTTATTCACCAAATAAGTACAATGTATAAGCTGGTAAAGTTTGGGTGATTCGTCAATATAATACGCTTTGTTCATCAAGTAAGTACAATGAAGACACATGTGAAGTACAAGTGATTCGTGACTATAGTACGCTTTGTTCACTGATAAAGTATATGTTTGCCATTCATATAGTATTGTTACACTCTATATATTATTGTGGGGCCAATGCATCCATATGATCGCATTTTAAGACACAACTCTTCATTTTAAGACTATTAAGAATGAATGGAGACAATGTGGGAGTCGATCAATATCGATTATGGAAAGAATTGAGGAAAATATTAGTTTTACACTTGAGCATTGTAGACTTGTATGAATATATTGTATAGTATATGAGTATCATGTATGAAATTCAACATATTTATGGGATCTTGTATTTCAAACGCAACAATAATGCTCACCTACCTTAAAATAATCATCTAAAACATAATTTATGCATCTTCCGTACTTATTGATCATTAAAGCGTCAATGAAATTGGTACAATTCAATTCATCAAAAAATATGGTACGCTTTGTTCATCAAGTAAGTACAATGAATACACATGTGAAGTACAAGTGATTCGTGACTATAGTACGCTTTGTTCACTGATAAAGTATATGTTTGCCATTCATATAGTATTGTTACAATCTATATATTATTGTGGGGCCAATGCATCCATATGATCGCATTTTAAGACACAACTCTTCATTTTAAGACTATTAAGAATGAATAGACACAATTCTTCAGTTTATGGTAAGTTTTTCGTGAATACACATGTGAAGTACGCTTTGTTCATCAAGTAAGTACAAGTCTACTGTTGACAAGGTATCTTCGAATAGACTAGAAAGTATTTGTTGCTCATTTTTATGGTACGCTTATATTCTTTATACAAACTAATTAATCGCAAAATAAAGTACCATGTGTTCAAAAGGTAAGTACATTTCATCGAAACATATAGTAGAGTGGATACAATGGAAAAGTACGAAGAGAACTAATCAATAGTATTATTAGCTCTACAACAAAAGGACAGATTGTTTATGGCACAAAAACACATTCATCTGTTCATTAATTACAAAAAAACACAAAAACCCCAAAACACTTCCAAGCGTATAGTATTTCCCCCAAACCAGAAGGCCCGATCTTTTACATTGTACGTTTGCATGAGAGACGCAACCCTATAGAAGTTGTGGTTTATTTTAGGCATGTCCATGTAGTGATAGAAGGGATTTTTCTTCAGTACTTCATAATGTTGTTTCTTCATCACTTTTTTCACACCTTCCATAGTTGTTTGAAAAGCGATCGGTGAGCACCTGCAGCCTATTGATAGCTTGCTGCAATCTTCTTTTACATCAATTCCTGCAATTACATACACATAAAACTACAATTATAACAAATACAACGTACTATAAAGTTCCACTGCTAGTACTTCCAGTAATTTCGTTCAATACCATCCAAATGCACTAGCAATACCATTGTTGCATATGACACATACTATATTACAATCAAACATTATACTTCCAGTACCCTTTTGTCGATACTATTCGAATGCACTAGCAATACCATTCAATGGCACTAGCAATACCATTGTGGCATATGACACATACTACATTACAATCAAACATTATACTTCCAGTACCCTTTGTCGATACTATTCGAATGCACTAGCAATACCATTCAACGGCACTAGCAATACTATTGTGGCATATGACACATACTACAGGACCATCAAACATTATACTTCCAGTACCATGTGTCAATACCATCCAAAGTCACTAGCAATGCCATTCAAAGGCACTAGTAATACTATTGTGGCATATGACACATACTACAGAACCATCAAACTTATACTTCCAGTACCATGTGTCAATACCATCCAAAGTCACTAGCAATGTCATTCAAAGGCACTAGTAATACTATTGTGGCATATGACACATACTACAGAACCATCAAACTTATACTTCCAGTACCATGTGTCAATACCATCCAAAGTCACTAGCAATGCCATTCAAAGGCACTAGTAATACTATTGTGGCATATGACACATACTACAGAACCATCAAAGATTATACTTCCAGTACCCTGTGTTAATACCGTCCGAAGTCAAGAGGAATACCATTATTACATATGACATATACCTTTGTTAGGACTAAATACTTTCGGGACAGTACTTCGAGTACCCTGTGTCAATACCATCTAAATGCACTATTAATACCATTACTGCGCATGACACATACTATACAACCAGTACGAAAAATACAATAAGCCTCTTTCCCATATCCTATATGAAACCCTTATTAGGACTCAAAATGCTTTGGGGACATGCTAATGTCACCGAAGAATAATACCCATGAGAAAACTGATACAAAATCATGAAATTCGACAACAAATAATTGATCTTTGCAACCCAAACAACAGAACAACAGATATTGGAACCGATTTAATGATTAGGGGAAACCAAATAAAGTCGAGGCATAATACCCATGAGTTGATATGTTCAAAATCATGCAATTCTACAACAAATAAACCTTTTTGCAAGCTTAAGCAACACCCAAATGGGTCTGTTTCCAAAAAAAAAAAAAAAAAAAAAAAAAATCAAACCTTGTTGTTTACCCTGCTTCACCATTGTCTAGAAATGGGTTTGTTTATTTTTATTTTTCCTTTCGCTTTATTATTTTTCTGCGTTTTGTTGATTCTTCGTGCTTCGTTGTTTCTTCCTTCTTTGTTGTTTCTTTGTTCTTCGTTTCTTCTCTGTTTCTTCTTTGTCTGAAAATGGGTATAAACTGAACGGGCAAAGAGCGTGTAACACAAACGGCGCGTTGGAAGTTGAAAAGAAGTTATGTAAAATTAGTATGAAGTAAAGGGTATTTTAGTATTTGCACATTTTGTTAGGGACTGGTCTGCATGTTAGGCGCGTGAGTAGGGACTGATTTGCTTGGGGAATCTACCTAGGGACTGATCTGTGTTTTGAGTTTTGGATTAGGGATTTATCTGTAGTTTCCCCAAGAAAAAATTACAAAAACACTTAATTTCAAATTTTCACTTCGACCAGGAGGTGTAGGGTCGAAGGAACCACCACCTACTGTGCTGTGCAGTACTGCTGGCTTCTAAATTCATCCAAATCCATTTATTTCTCTATCAACTTCTCTTCATTTCTTCCTCATTTCGTCTCTGGATCGGAAGTACTCTTCTTATTTGCTGAAAGACTAATTTCACAGTAGAACAGTATTATACATATATATATTTGTGTGTTGATATTGAAGATGGCTTATGCTGCTCTCGTTTCACTTGCACAATTGCTAGACCAGATTCTGGATCATGATGAACACACCAATTATTTTCTTCAACAAATTAAATCCCTACACCAAAATACTCTTTCCCTGTTAAATTTTCTCGACGATTATCCCGGAGAGGCGGCGCTTCCAGAAGTACGAATCACAACTGCCGCAAATCAATCAGAAGATACAATCGAGCGCCATATTTCTGATCAAATTCTCTCTCTACAAAATTCCGAATCTTCAGATCTGTACTGGCTAAAGTTGTACGGATCGTTGCGCGAGTCGATGGAAGAAATCGATTCCATTTTGAAAGAAGTAAATCAGGTCAAGAGTAGCAGCAGTGCGAGTAAGGAGCATTCATCTGGTTCTTTCTCACCCAGACTTGCGCCTAAACGCAAAAACGACACCGTTGTTGTGGGGTTGGATGAAGACGCTATGAAATTAAAGGGTCGTCTATGCGGAGAGTTCAAAAACCTTCAAACGATACCGATCGTTGGCATGGGAGGCGTTGGGAAGACAACTCTTGCTAGGTATGTTTACGACGATCCGTTAATTGTGCATCACTTCGATGTTCGTGTTTGGGTTACAATATCCCTGAATTATAGCATTCGTCAAATTCTTCTAGACCTTGTTAGTTTCATTGGCGTGTCTAATAAGGAGCTACATAAGTTCGATACAGATGCGTTGTTGGTGGCGTACGTGTATAAGTACTTAAAGAGAAGGAGATATCTGATTGTGATGGATGATTTGTGGAACACGAATGTATTCGATGATGTACGGATGATATTTCCGGACGACTCTAATGGGAGTAGGATTGTAGTAACTACTAGGCAGCTAGATGTGGCTTCTTATGCCGACCCTTCTGGCCGTTTTCACCGGGTTGAGTTGATGAATATGGATCAAAGTTGGAATCTACTGAGGGAGAAGGTTTTTGCAAATCGAGAACATTGCCCTCCCGAATTGGAGCAAATCGGGAAGCTGATTGTAGAAAACTGTCGAGGGCTTCCTCTAGCAATTGTGGTGATTGCTGGGGTCCTCCGTGAGGCTAATCAGACGCAAGACACTTGGCGAAACATTGCCAGAAATGTGAAGGGAGCTTTCGATGGAAGCGATGAGCAGTTTATGGAGATATTGTCTTTGAGCTATACGTATTTGCCTCATTGTTTGAGACCGTGTTTTCTTTATATGGGAGGTTTTCCGGAAGATCACGAGATCAGTGCGTCAAAAGTTATCAAATTATGGGCTGCAGAGGGCTTTGTGAAGCCGAATGGATCTAAAAATCAAGAAGAGGTGGCAGAGGAATATTTGGAAGATTTGGCGAAGAGAAGTCTCGTTTTGGTCGTTAAGAAGAGATTTAATGGCAGAATCAAAGCTGTCAAGATCCATGATCTCTTGAGAGATCTCTGCCTACGGAAAGCTCGGGAGGAGAATTTTCTTCATGTCATAAATGAATTTTCAGTCGACTCTTTAAAAGTCATCGAGAAATCACGACGCTTAAGTATTTTTTCTTATATATTGGGCGGCTTTCCGGAGGTTGATTGTTCGCGTATTCATAGTCTTCTTTTGTTCCAACATGAAGCCTTACATTCTTGGAGAAGTTTTAGTCTTCTCAGGGTAGTGGATGCCTTGAGCGTAATATTGGATTTTTACCCAGATGATATATTTGAGCTATTTCACTTGAGGTACCTCGCTTTTACCTTTGATTATACTGACAAGAGACATCACTATGAAATTCCTAAATCCTTTTCAAAACTCGAGAATCTTCGAACCTTAATCATCCGCCAGTTCAATGGGTTTTATGGATTCAGAACCACTTGTTGTATGCCATTTGAAATTTGGAGAATGACACAATTAAGGCATCTTATCTTGTTGGATGGCTTCTTACCCGATCCTTGTTCAGAAACTTGTCTGGAAACCTTAGCTCTGGAAAACCTACAAACACTTTCGAATATACAAGGTTTTACGTGCTCCCAAAGGATGTTAGAAATGATACCAAATCTTAAAAAGTTGGGAATTACGTATTCATCCGATGACCTCTACGAAGAAGAATGGTCAAAGTATTGCCTAAACAATCTTGTCCATCTCCATAAGCTCGAAGAGTTGAAATTCCATGCAATGCCTCATGACTATCACCGGAGTGATTTGTCCCGGAACCTCGTTTTTCCATTGACTATGAAAAAGCTGACGTTAAGTGGCTGCAATTTACCATGGGAATCCATGACGATTGTTGGGTCGTTGCCTAATCTCGAAGTTCTCAAACTGAAGAAAGGTGCTTTTCGTGGACTCAAGTGGGAAACGACTGAAGGGGAATTCTGTCGGCTGAAAGTACTTGTTATGGACAGAACTGATCCCCGTATCTGGATAACCGAAAGTTCGCATTTCCCAACGCTCGAGGTCCTAGTTCTTCGGAAATGCTACACTCTAAGTGAGATTCCGTATAGTATTTGTGAAATACAAACACTTGAACAGATTAAGGTGGATTGCTGCAACTCATCCATTGGGGAATCGGCAAAACGGATACAAGAAGAGGTGCAGAGCTTTGGAAACGAACTCGAGGTCCTCACCATTACGTCACAACTGGAACCTGCACTCGACACTGGCATGGATTTCTTCAAGTCCTGAGATGGGTAAACTTAAGGTATTTATTCAGATATTCATCTCATTTTTTTTCCTATTCACCAATCCATGTAATTAAATACTTGATGTAGTAATGTTTCAATATGTTGTATTTGGTCTTCTTTTCATAACTTACATGTTATGATATGTTACTGAAAAACTCTAACATGAGTTTTATTTCAATTACATCTTATTTAAAAATTTAAGAAAATAAACTTCGATTTTCGAAATAAATTATATGAAAAAATTATCATACTTTTAATATAACTAAATATAAATATTATTACTGGTAATTAGTAAATAATAATTAGTTTGAGTTTACAGTATTATAGTTTCATATTTGTGGAATTTACGTGTTAAAAATTATACGAGAACTAATTTAAAATTTGAAACTACTTTAGGTATCTAATGTTGATTTATCTTAGATGAATTTGGTTCATGCATCTCGTTGATTCCGCCGTAGAAACGTCGTCTCTTCCTCATCCACTAACAACCGTCCTCGACTTGGATCTAGATCCACAAGCCATTCCTTATAGTCTTGATGGGCGGGGCAGCGACGGCAGTGATGAGAGAAAAAGACGTGGGGTGCGTGTTGTAGAGAGAAAGGAGAGAGAATAGAAATGAAGGCTGAACAGCGGCAGCGGTGATGAGAGCAAAAGAGGTTGGGGCGTGTTGTGGAGACGAGAGAAAAAAATTGGACTCATCTAAATTGCATAATGTGAGGGGGTTTGTCAAATAATTCCTTTTTTATTATGTATTTTAGTAAAACTTTATTGTTCACATATTTAAATATGTCTTATAATTATTTTTTTATTTGATTTTATTTCAAACAAGATGCAAAAATCTTAACATACAAAATAAGATACATTATGAATCTTAAAAATCAATTGAATCGTATAAAATTTCACTAAATCGTAAAAAAAAATGGATAGAATAGATACATTTTGAACCCTAAAAATCAATTGAATCGTAAAATTCATATAAAATCGTAATACATAGTAAAAAAATCGATCGATATATCCAATCGAATTTCTTTTAAGATTCCAATCGAAAAGTTGAAATATACAAATGGATCGTTAAATTGAATCAAAAATAGTAAAAGTTTGTAATTTTCTTAGAAAGTCGTGTTGTAAACAATAGGGGTATTATATTATAAAACAGGGTTGTCGTGGGAGAATGAATATCTTATCAAAGAAATTCATCAACAACAACTAAAGGATAATTGGAGTTTAATTCACATTCTCAGGGAGAAAACATGGTAGCAGATGGCTTAGCAAAAATAGCTCAATCTCACAAAGATAAGAAGGACTATCGGCATAACGAAGTTCTTCCTTGTAATATTAAAAACGTACGTAATTTGTATGGATAAGCTAGGTATTCAAAAATTTCATAGAAAATAAGGGTACTCTTTCCTTGTAGCATAACATGGTTTTAACGAGGCCCCTTCGTATAATCTCCCCTCTTATCAATAAAATTTATTTTTTTCGGCAAAAGTAAAAAGAGAGTAAACAATTGGGGTACTATTTCCTTGTTAGGCCAAACTTTAATTTAACAAGACCCTTTTTTGATGCAATAAAACTTTTATGTTTGGACAAAAAATAATTAAAGTAACACAACACGCGCAACTCACGTACACCTTTCTAGTTAGACAAAATATTGGGATACAATTAAATATGACCTCAGAGAAGTGCTGGTAGAAGTTTTCAAAGGAGAATTATACATCTTCCTCAGGGGATATATGTCTACCACTATTCTTACTTTGATCCTAAAAGTTAATAATCCTAATGGTCTCTTAGAGTTTTGACCAATCATCTTGAGTACCTTTGTAAGTAAAGTGATGACAAGGATTATGGCTACAAGATTTGGAAAAATTCTGAAGAGCAAACATGATTTTTAAAAGGGTGGAGCATTCATGAATCCATTGCGTGTGCTCAAGAATTGGTTGCAAATTTGGATAAGAAAGTCGGAGGAAACTTAATGTTCAAAATTCGACATATCAAAGACGGTCTCTTGGTTTTGAAAAGAGTGGTTTTCACCACTCTAAGTCTCTAGAGAATTAACGAGAGCCGTATTCATTTGTTACTCGAATGGACGGATTTTGTCAACATTGTATTTGGGCGTGCCTATTTACAAAGGAACAAATTTAATAAAAATTGAAAGTATGATCAATAAATCTTGCCAATGTTGGGAAATGTGGTAAATCTCGAATTATGAATGATTGACAGCCTCCTTACAAGCTTCAAAGTTAATCGAAATAATCTGGCCTACACTAGTTTTAACACTTAAGATAAAAAAAAAAAAAAAAAAGTTCAATATTCGATATTTGAATAGAATAGGTTTGCATAGCTTTCATAAAAAGTATCGGCTCTAAAGGCATACTCTTTCCTTATTAGGCCGTACACAAGCTTTTAATGAGGCCTCTCAAGATTTTATGCAATATAATTTAATTTTGGCCAAAACAAAAATCACGGATATTTTTGGCCAAATTTTTGTTTTGTTTTTTTCTCCCCACTAAATATCTTCTTATTCTGAAGTTCAAAATAACTCACAATAATTTGGACATGAAACCACTAGTAAGAACGATTTTATTAACAATATACCCAAAAGTTGAAGTGTAATAGGTTTCTTTATAGTCCATCTGCACTCTTAATGTACTGCTTGTTCCTAGGGCAAATGATGTTGCTTTATTGTCTAGTTGTTTTATATCTCCTTCCATTAAAAAACCCACCCGATTCGGAGTTCGATTTCCCCACGATCGATATTTTTCAGTGTCAGGCGCATGTCAAGCAATACTATCCCGTTTATCCAAATAATGAAACTTTCTTTAGCAAGACAATTGGAGCTTGAAGGCAATATTCTTGTGATTATTGTACCGTTTGGAAGGCCATTTGGATACATGTTCGCGGCTTCTACCAATGGTCCAATATCAAACTCTGCTTCTCCAATCTTTTCATCCACGTTTCTCAACTTGTTCAGGACAAACACTCTCTACAACCATACATACAATATGAATCAGCATACACATATAAATTAAGGAAAAATATTGCAGAATTCTTTTAATTTTAAATTTAAGAACCTCACCAGAGAAATCGGATGAGTTTGATTCGGATTCCAAATTGTGAGATCATCATCCCATTCAGGATTAATATCATTCGCCACAACATGAGTCTCCACCCTCTGCGTCATAAAGATTTAAACTAAATCATAAATTTATTCTAGCAAACTCGAAAGTCCAAATATTCAATGCAACAATAAATTAATGTGCTTATATTATGAGATTATATATAATCAAACCTATACCCTAATTTGAAATCATAAGCAATGAAAGCAACTAAGAGAAAGAAAATACAAGAGCAAGGCAACATGTGGTGAGAAAAAAATGTCATTAGTAAGAACACAAAACCTGGTTGCCAATCGTGATAACAACATAAGGATCTCCGATGCGGCCGTCGCCACCAACAGCAAGATTAATACCTCTCTTCACCAAAATTCTGAGCACTCCAAATGCTCTATTTAGAACTTGAATGCCATCGTATCCTAGGTTCTCTCGTTGCTCTGATATTTCATTTGCAGATGCCAAAATAAGATCATTGTTTCTATTGTAATCTACGCGAATTTTTTGAAGTGGTAATATTTCAGCAAATTCTGACGGGATCTCCTTGAGGTTTAGGTATCCAAGACGTAGAATCTCAAGACATGGGAAATGTGTATTGTCTGCTTCCCATATCTCCAACTCACACTGATGAATCCATAGATACTTCAGTCGAGCGAATTCCCCTTCATTTGGAATCCACTTTTGTCCTATAGCGGCATTTTTGAAAAGAACGAGAACTTGAAGGTTGGGCAGCGAACCAATAACTGACATTTCTTCCCAAGGAATCTTGCATCCATGTAATCTCAGCTCTTTAAGTGAATTTGGGAAGACAATTTCTCCACCACAAGGACAACATAACATGCTAAGTTGTTCGAGTTTGTGGAGAAGTCCAAGATTGCTTAAACGATTAGATCCTATTGTCCCGCATATAATTTCCAACTTCTTCAGATTTGGGATTCTTTTCATTACCGCTTCAGTGCATTTGAAATCTTCTACTGTAGAAAGTGTTTGTAGATTCTCAAGAAGTATAATTTTGTGGACATCATCTGGAGGTGGAGGATCGGGAAGAATAATACTATCTCCCTCAACATGTCGAAGTTGGGGCATCTGCCATATCTCACTTGGTAGAACCAACTCTCTATCAACAACGACTAAGGTTTGTAGACTCCAAAGTCGGGATAATATAGAAGACGACATAGAGATCGAACCCGTGCAAGAAACATATCTTGAGTTCATTAATTGTAGAATCTCATCTTTGGGACATTTTTCTACCACATCCAATACACGTAGTAACGGAAACCGACGAGCAGTGTAATCAGTTGAATCCCGAGAAGAGAAGCTTAAGAAAGACCGTGTAGGTGGTCTATAGGGCGTACGTTTCATCCCTTTCCATTTGCCACCATTAATGCTCAGGCGTGTAGGTCTGGTCTCCGTATTTGGTAACGTATCGAGGTGGTTATACAGTTTTCCCGTGAGAATAAAATTGTCTTTCTGAGCTTCTATCCGGCATAGGTCACTTAAAAGGTCGTGAATGTGGCATGTCTTCACTTCTCCAGTAAGCTCTAGCTTATCGACCAAAATGAGATTTCTCTCAATAAGATTCTTCAAGTACTCCTCTCCAATTTCTTCTAAGCTTTTATGCTCACATTTCCTTATAAATCCTTCAGCAACCCACAACCTGATGAGCCTCGACACTTGGATATCAAAATCTTCTGGAAATGCGGCGAAGTAAAGGAAACAAGGCTTGAGATATATAGGCAAGTGATTATAACTCAATGATAATATCTTCATGCAGAAATCGTCACCTTGATTGCGTACTGCTGAAGTTACATCTTCTTCGACATACTTCCAATTTTCTGTTTTCGACTTTGCAAGAACACCAGCAATCACAATAAGGGCCAAAGGAAGACCTCTGCATTTTTTAGCAATACTTCTTCCAATTTCCTCCAATTCAACGGGGCAACGCTTTTCTGCATATATCTTTTGGGAGAGTAGATCCCAACTCTGTTCTTCATCTAGCAAATTCAGTTGATAAGGGCTACAAGACCCAATATCCATAGCCAACCTCAATAGCCTAGTAGTTACCATGATTCGACTCCCATTATTATTGTCTGGAAGGAACCTGTTTATCATCTCCCACACCTTGATATCCCAGATGTCATCCATCACTATCAAATACTTCCTCCCAAACAGAGTTTTGTGCAATTTATTTCCGAGTTGATCATCATCATCATCGTAATCATCATCATCATCACCTGTCTTCTGTTCATCTCGATTTGTATTATTAATCTGACGCAAAAGGCCTAGAAGAATCTCCTTTTCGGTATATTCTTGGGAGACCGTAAACCAAACACAAACATGAAAGTGTTGCACGATAAAAGGTTTGTTATAGACATGAGTGGCAAGAGTAGTCTTACCTATGCCTCCCATTCCAACAATAGAGATGACTCGAAGATTAGATTCGTCGGTGGAGAGAGCGCCCATTATTTGAATCAAGTGGTCGTCGAACCCCACCATGGTGTTTTCGCCAATAGGAAGAAGAGGCCTCGATGACGAAGCAGCTTCCGTTGTTATGGAAATTTTAGCTTGCACATATTTCTTTATTTTCACCAGCTCTTCCTCGATAGAATGGAACTGTTGTATTGCTGTTCGTACACCTTCAGACAAGAGATTATTGGATGTTGAGGTTTCTACTGATCTGTCGACTTCAGATCCCGCTGCAAGAATTTGATTCATCACATTGTCTTCGATGATATACTCTGCTCCTTCAGCTGCAACCCTGATCCTCGTCTCCAAATCTTCAATCTCTTTGTGATCTCCTCCAGTGTTCGAATGATTTTCGAGAAAATAATCAATCAAGAAATCGGCTTTTTCTCGTAGAAAATTAATCTGATCTCGATCAAAATTAATGAAATGGTGATGAGGAGGTGGACTGAGGATCTGATCAAGAGTATGAGTGAGAGAAACTAACGCCGCGTAAGCTGCAGCCATCGACCAATACGCACTCTTTAATTCTTCAGATTTTCATACACTAACATGTAAAAACACTTTGTGATTTCTAATAACAAGAAGAGTTCAAGTATTTCACTCTTCCAGATAAATTTGTGCGCGATGTGTGGCTCTTATGCGTTTGCTCCTATGTTTTCAGCACCACTTGCTCTTTATTTCTGCAACTCAAATTCATTGACTTGGTTTGTCGGCATACTCATTTATATATTGCCTTCGTTGACTGGATTTCAAATTTGGGTTGATTGATTATTGGGTAAATTACGAAAATCCTCTGAATTTAGTCTAAATAATGAAAAACATCACTACATATTTGTAATTACTAAAAACCCCCTGATGTTTGTTTCCGTCTTACCCAACACTTTACAATGTGACTTTTCACATATTTCCTTTTTATTTCATGGAATAGAATTTACAAAGTATCAGTTCATCATTAATTAATCAATTACAAATAAGCCATCAATGATTACTTATTGATAAAGAGATCCAGACAATTAAATCTTTTACAAAAAATTCCACACATGGTTCAGATTTTTGTAAAAGACTAAAATAGCCCCTCGTACTTATATGCTCCAAATTCATCTTTTAATTTAATTTAACCTCAATTTGACCCCAAATTTCACAAATTATTTAATTATGACCCAAAACACATTTTTATGGACAATTTCGTCCGTCACCGCCGTTGACTTTTTTTTTTCTTCTTCCTGATTTTTCCGCCGGTTTCCGGCATTGACCGGCGGTCACCTTTTTTTTCTTTTCCTTTCTTTCTGTAATAACTTTTTTTTCCCGTTTAATCAACAATATTGCTGTGATTGACAGTAATATTAACTATATTACTGTTAAACACAGTAACATTAACTATACTACAATTTAACACAGTAATATTATTATATTAATCTCTAGCACAGTAATATTAACACAACAAAACTCATTATTATTTTTAAACATAATAAAAAGCCAAAAAAATTAATATTACTGTGAGTGACAGTAATATTACTATAACAACAGTAATATTACCGTCAACCACAGTAAGATTAGAATAATAGACAATAATATTATTACGTTACTCCGTGAATAATTCAAACAAAACAAAAAAACCCAAACAAAATAATAATATTGATGTGGTTGACAGTAGTAATATTACTATAACAACAGTATTATTACCGTCAACCACACTAATATTATTGTCTTTACAGTAACATTACAATAATAGACAGTAATATTATTACGTTACTCCGTTAATAACTCAAATAAAACAAAAAAACCCAAAAAAATAATAATATTGATGTGGTTGATAGTAATATTATTGTGTTTACAATTATTTTACTGTCAACGACAGTAATATAATTACGTTGACTTGTCAACAAATCAAACAAAATTAAATAAAATAACAAAAAAAAATAACAATATTACGTTAATTTACTGTCAACGGCAGTACAATTACATAAAAGTATTGTCAACGGCAGTACAATTACGTTAATGTACTGTCAGTGACAGTATAATTGCGTTAATTTACTGTAAGTGACAGTATAATTACCGTTAATGACAACACAGTTACGGTCAACGTTTAGCGGCCGACGTAAAAAAAAAGAAAAAAAAAACACTAAAAAAAATCAACGCCGGAATTTTTCCTTTATTATTTATAATAAATATTAAAGGGATGGGCTTATTGGTGAAATAGATATAGCCTATAAACCAAGAATAATAAAGATGCTTGGTTATGGACTTAAGCACAAAATCCCATAAAAGAGAAGAAAATAAAACGGAATAAGTACTAAGAAAATGTCAATAAATATCATTCAAAACAGTTAAGATAAAACACTAAAATAAATTATGAATAAGAGGGGTAAAAAGTAGTTGAATCATAAATAAAAACAGAAAAAGGTCATCCACACCTTTAAGAATTCATAACACTCCCCCTTGGATGTCCACCATATATGGAGTATGCATCGTTAAAAACCTTGTTAGGAAAACCCATTGGGACAAAACCTAATCGAAGGAGAAAAGAGTACATATCCATGTGAAACTTGCGAGCGTGACACTGCCTCGTTAAAACCTTGCCAAGAATAATTCATTGGGACAAAAACTTGGTCGAAGAAAAAAGAGTACAGTGTTGTTATTAGTGCTCATGCTCCCTCGGATTTCGACATATTACTTTTAATCATCTTCTCAGTGAAGTAGTTGGCAATACGCCGATATATGAATATGATAATTTATTTTTTGACTTTGATATAGCCAACTATATCTGCTTTAAGATCCACGAAATTTTCATTATCTTCTCGAGGGCTTAAAAGATCTCAATTATATCCAATGATTGGACAAAACATAATATCACTCGATAGATGAGTCTTATCCATTTCTTATTTGTATTAATGGATAAATTTCATTTGATATATCTTCTTTTCGAGATGCATTTAGCCCTTCCAATATTTTTCATGTCAAATTATGTCACCAAATAATTGACCATTTTTGTGAGCTCTTCGTTAGTCTCCACAAGATTTAGGTCATTCACATCTATATCATGATAGTGGTAAGTCAGATTATTTGACCTTTGACAAGGTATTCACTGAGGTGAATGTACCATATATTAAAGATAATATGTAAATGGATCATTTCTAGAGTATGACTCACGAAACCTCTTATTAATTATATGCACAATGCATTATCAATTCTTCATTAATTTTATGATCCACATAGATATGCGGTAATTGCATCCATATGATGCATGTCAATTATTTTGAATACCATCATAAAGTGATTGCATCATAAAAATATATTTTCAAAAGGTATTCAAATGTACCGCAATAATTTTACCCACTTTTGCACTAAAGGCTTTCATAACTTTATGTGTGATGACCGCAAGTGAATGTACAATTCATTCCATCAATAATTTCAAATAATCATGGTCAATTGCATTTGTGAATGCATATACTAATGACCAATTAGATGTCGACATCTATTAAGATTTATAAGCTTCAAGCTTTTCACATTATAGAAATAATTGTACATATAGTTATTCGATAACAGCTTAAGTTTTCCCCATATTTCTTTATAATCAATCAAGAGCTCACTATTTCACTTTCCGGTACCGGATTCTCCTTAGAGAATTATATTCATATCAATGGGGATTGTAGCCTTTGTGGGTACGATCTCTTCTTGAGATCCATATATTTTCATGTACCATGTATTTTTCTCTTATAGAGAATTTTGTATATTGCAACAATAAAGTTTTTCATAATACTTTATGTGCTTGAGCTCCTTATTTATTTCAATTAAATGTCCTACATGGACAAAACGCACGCTTTTGAGTTTCACAATGTGGATGGAGTATTGAGGACTACTTGTCCACTTTATTTTCAAACTCAATATAAACAAATTCAATTTGGTACATGAATATTCATTCGAAAAGAATTTTCAACTCTTTAATATATTATATCGGTACAACAACAAAATTGAGAACTAATAGTCTTAAATGCCTCTCTATTCACTTAGAGAGCAAGCTAACCATGATTTATTTGCCAATCAACTCCTTATTGGCACATCGGTTCGATTTAAATGATCTCGATAGCTATCGTGTAATCATCAAAGATTTTGTCATCCAAATATGTATTTCTTTTATGCCACCATAATTGTTTTTGTATTCTCATATCATAATAAAGGATATTGGTGTTCAGGCGTCCCCCAACATAGTCTTTTAGACGCATATATTCATGTATGTGAGAATTTATAGATATAGAGATTTATATATATATAGACAGATATATATATATATATATATATATATATATATATATAGAGAGATATATATATATATATATATATATATATATATATATATATATATATATATATATATATATATATATATATATATATATATATATATATATATATCTCCCTCTTATATGTATAAAGTATAATTGGTTAGTTGTGTACCATAATCATTTTTCACCCATTTAAGGATTCACGATGCAATCACAATGTGAAATATGTCCTTCGAGGACATTTGTTTTCATGGCAAAATCTAATGTGCAATGTGTCCTTCTTGGACATTTTCTCTTGCACTCATTACAACATATGTAATACTTTCAAGTTGCCATTTTGTCGATAAATGCATCTAGCATTTTACACATTAAAATTGCTGCAAATGAATTCTTTTTTTCTTTTTGTGCTTAAATATTTCCATGCACAAATCTGGATGAGACAAATATCATTTCGTATAATTCACGTTGATATACAAGAACTAGCTTCTTATCTCCCCCTTAACGACGAGAAAATTGTCTCGAAAACGATAATTGACAATATATGCCATAAAAATATCTCCCATTAGGAGTGCAGAATATTGCATAGAATAAATAATAAACAAACCACGTGATATCATGTTATGTGGTTGAATATAACTTCGTTTGAGAATCTTACAGATTTTGAATATAAATGATCAAATTTCAAAAATTTAAAAAATTTAAAAAATTAGGGACCAAACTGTAAATTATGAAAATTTAGGGACCGAATTATAAATTTTGAAAACTTCAGGAACAAGGCTGTAGTTTTAAAAACTTCAGTGAAAACTGAAAATGCTCAAATCTATTCATAGTAGCGGATCATGAAAGGAACGAGCTGCATATTTTGAAAAACTTTTGGACTTGATCGTAAAATTATCAAATTCGGCAGACTAAAATGAAATTTTTGAAATATTGAATCAGTAAATTGTAAATTTCTAAAAATAAGAATATGCATAGGATTTGAAATTTTATCAAGAAAATCAGATCCCCTTTTTCGTTTGGTTTGAAATTTCGTCTCATCTAGACCAATAAAAAAATACATATATATACATACCTCCATAGATATGGATTTGGAGTGAAATTGGCATCGCTAAAATTTTGTGATTCAAAATCTTTAATTGAATTGGTCAATATCGTGACTCCAGAATCAACGCAATTTCTTTTGCTTTTCTATTGGTGCTTGATAAAGCTTATCAACATGCTTTATCGTAAAATGGATATGACCAATCATTTTTCATATTTCTCATCTCTCTTCCACTTCTAATGATGAGATAAAATATTTATGGTGGATAAACTTGAGGACCACGATAGCTATTCATGCCAATATATCTCTTCGATTTGTTTTTAATATTGTTGCTTTCACTTTCAAAGAATAACAACAGTTGTACGAGCTTTGTATCATTTCAATTCTAGCTCACATCTCTTGCTCTATTACAATACGCAATCCAATTTCTTGATTTGGCTATTATAAGTGTAACTTGAGTTGTTATGTGTCTGCGTCACGATCATAATATAGATCC